TTTCTGACGCACTGCTCTGCCGGAACCTCTCAACTTTCTGACTCCTGTGCTGATTCGTGCTTCACGAACTGTGCCACCGAAACAGCAGCGGTCGATTTGGGTCTTCAGCCCGTACCAGCTTGAGGTTAATCATTTCCCTCATCGCAGGTAGGGCAACTACATCATTATGCGTTTTTACACAGAGAGCGTATGGAAGGGCACCCCTAAACACCAAAGCCCGAACTGCAATCAATAAACAAGGCCTTCCGAGGCAGCTGCCAAAGCACACTGCAAGAGCCGATTGTTCTGGATCTCCTAGCGATCCAGACTCAGAAGTCTTGGCAGAGGTGAGGCGGGAATGTCAGACATGTGAGATGTTCTCGTCAGCCTCTCGTCATCGATGGGCACATTTTCGTGATTCAAACTTGGTGGAGCGTGTAAAGGTTGTGACTTCCTGTACCCCCGCACCGTTTGACGCTGAAACCTGAAGTCACGCGAGTCTCCTTCTCCCCTCGTGGCTGTAAAGATGGCCAGTCCTGCGTAGCACTTCGGCGGTTGCTGTGAGACCCAGAAACAAGCACAACGCAGTACTGACAAAGGCTACAGGATGCTGCGCGATGCCACAGTTCCGACAGAAAGTTAAAAAGGAGAGGACGCCCCCACCTCGACGGTCTCGCGCTCTGCGAGTCTCTCGTCGAAGCTCGAAACTGAGAGAAAGGTAGGGTTCAACATGGTTCAACCTGTTCTCGAGCTGTTCTCAACCGGTTTCCATTGAAGCCCAGGAGGTCTAGAGGAGCAAGCCTTTCGAGGTGTGACCAATCTGAACAGCTCGGGGCTTTGGTTCGTTTCACTCTGCGTTGGTGGTTTGAAGGCCGGAGAGTAATTGGTCGGGCTTGGGATCTTGCGGGTAGCTGCCGGCATGTGTGAGGGGCAGGGGGGATGACATGCTTTGCGAGGCCATTCAACAACTGGACACCCCAATGACTGCCAAGCAACAAAGCACGATTAGGCACGATTGTATTTCGCTAAAGTTGGGCGGAGCTGCATGGCGCTGCTGAGTTCGGCACCCTCGGGGCTAGGCAGCTGGGAGATCTTGGTGCAGCGGAGTGGAGCCATGTAGGTCTTCCCCAAACCGGTAGAAGCACCCGTCAAAAACCAAGAGGGGTTGTCGGACGCTCACGCGTAGCATGTGGACCCCGGGTGCAGGGCTGCTTCAAAGCTGAGGCCCTTGACCGCGTGGTTTGGCGCGCCCGGCGCAGCCTCGAGGCGCTGCCGGAGCTCCTTGCGCAGGCCTCTCTGCAGGGAAGGGACTCCCCCTTAGAAAAAGATCTCTCCGAGCTGCTCTGCGCAGCACTCTACCCAACACCACAAAACATAGGCGTGCCTTCGACCATCTCATCAAGTGCCGCCTCCACGCTGTAGAGTCCCGAGGTCGGGGATCTCAGCGTCACTGACTAGAAACTTGGCTTCGCTCAGAACTGCTGCTTGTTGAGTGCCAAAGCATCGGCGTGGGTTCTTGCAGTTCTGTTCTTCATTACGCCAGAATTCCAGAGGTGCTTCGCAAGTCCAAAGACACGAAACGGCACGGTGCCCAAGCGACACACCGGAGGAACGCACGACAGCAGTGATCGGGAAAGGCCGACAAGGCACGAAAGTACTGTATGCGCCTTGGCACCCTTGAACTCTGAACTTTATTGACGCCATCGAGCTAGGCGAGCTAAGCTGCCCGGCCGCAAGTCTTGGACAACCTGCAAGGGCTAATGGTTGTGTCAAGATGATCTGTGAGATCAATATCTAACCCGCCTGCAGCGCCAGAACAACACCACCAGCGAGGATCGCAAAGACAACAGACTGTATCCACAGCCTCGCTACAATTCCACAGCCATGGACGAAGGATTTTGCAAGCCCGACAAGTTATGCTTCACTGTGTCAAACAGATGATGGAACACACATGTGGCAAGTCTATCTCAAACAAGCCTCATCTTTCCAAAGTCTCCTGAAGCCTGCATCCCACTCTGAGCGTTCATGATGTGCTGAGCCACACATGTCCCGGCGCTGCAGCGTCCGAGGCCTGCGGAGCCAGGGACAGATGTGGATCTTTTGTAGGCAGATAAGCTGTATTAATTTGCAAGAAGAGAGCGTGAAGAGGCGAACCGAAGGATGACTGACGGCATGGTTCCGGCTCCCAGGAGGCCTCATAGCCAGAGATGCCAGCCTTGTGCGGCTTGCAACTTACAACTGTTTCAAAGCTTGACCTTAAGGGGCCTGAGACAGAGGACACAGTGGGGGATTCCCCATGTTGTTGAACCCAAGGCCAAAGGCTGTAACAAATCCAGAGGACCCGAATTGCAGAGTCCAGTTCTATCGCAGGAGGATTCAACGGGGTGAGCATTGATTGGCCTCCTTGGAAGACAAGGCTGCGACCCCAGATAAAATACCGAGCGATGCAAGACCAAACTGACAGCGGGCTGTCCAATCATGCTAGAAGTACACGCAAGCTGCCTCAGACCCGAAATTGATGCAACACCAAGCCAAGCCCCCTTCGAATCCACTGTTTCTGTGCTGTCCGCGGCACGCCCAAAAGAGGAAACACCAACAGCTCCATGGCACCGAGTACCTGGAAGAGTCGCATCTCATGTCAAGCAGCCTCATTCAAAGAAGCTCCACAGCACGGACCAGCTACTGAACGCCTTCAATCCTACCTCCACCTATCTCCCGAAGACTGCCTGCGAATTCTTAGCACACCAACAAGGGGGGCTTGCATTGAGGAGGACAAAATGTTCCCACGGCAACCTGGCTCAGCAGAGCATGCAATTGAAAAAAAAGGCTAATGGCAACCTGAGGCCAAAAGCCGCCTCACTAGTGCACTGTTCGCTTGGAGGTGTCCGAGGACTGAAGTCATCATACACATCAATGTGCAGAAGCACGGTTGTGAAAAGACCTCCTTGGGGTTACAAACCACCAGTCCACTGTGCCAATATACTGCCTGAATCCTGAACAAACACAACTAAACCCAGTTGTCCAAGTCCGCCACTTGCGCTGAGTGGCTCCCAGCCGTTGACCGCGTGCCTAGGAAATGCCCCTTTCCCCGTTTTGGCATGTGCAGATGTTGGTCTTCAATCATTCAGCCTTTAGGAAAAGTCATCTGCCTGTCGGAGGCTGCGCACCGTGTCATAGACGATCGAAGGCACCTGGATCAGCTCATCTTTGCGCGGAGACCGAGATCTTGCAGAGCGAAGTGCTGCACAAGAACCACTGGCCAAAATGAGCCCCCCCGGTTCGCAAAGTCTGCGGATCAAGATTCTCATGTCAAGTCCTACCCAGTAGCCCAGTAGAAGAGCTGTGCTTCCATGACAGTCCTGAGGGCGATGCCCCAACGGAGGTGGCGTAGAGGACGGCCTCGAGCGGGTCCAGGGCGGGCTTCGCCTTGCAGGGAGAGCTCGCTGAGCGAACCTCGCTCTGCGCAATTGAGCCCATTGGGCTATACATGTATGATTGTGGATATATATGTATATGTACTTAGTGTATTCAGGTATACATACATATATATATATATGCATATATATATATATACACACACATGTATTCCATGTATGTGTGTGTGATGTATGTATGGTTCCGTGTCGCGTGTCAGTACCCCCCCCCTCCCCCCATGCCACTAGAACCCTAAAAACCCTAAAGACCCTCAAAACCACGAACCCTGCCACCCTAAACCAACCCTTCCAACTCTTGAAGCCCCAGGCAAATCCCACAAAACTTGAAATCCCTAAACACCCTAAACCCAAAACCCCTAAACCCTAAACCTCAACCCCCACCACAGAGGTGACCACAGAAACGATGTACCAAATATACATATGCATATGCATATATATATATATATGGATATATATATATATATATATAATGATCACTACTAGTATATTTGCGGTTATTGTCATTTTTAATCAATTTATTGTAATTATGTTTACAGATATATATATATTTATATTTATTGATTTATTTACTTATTTATTGATTTGTTTACTTATTTATTTACTTACATATATATATATATATGGACACACCCCCCCCCCCCCCCCATGACCTACCCAGATCTGTTTCCCTCGTAAATACCGTTAAAAACCCGCTCGTGCCCTATGCCATTTTTTGCTACTCTCAGTGGCTGTCTCTCGACAAAACAGACCCCACGGCCCACAAGACTGGACGCCGAGACGCGCGAGACCAAAAAACCAAAAAAACCATCTTTTTTAGAGAATGGGGAGGGGATGTTGAAAAAGATTGTTTTTTTGGTTTTGCCTCGTAAAAAGATGGTTTTTCATAGAAAAACCAACTTTCCCACGTAAAAAGATGGTTTTGGTCTGGACTGCCTCAGGAAAACCATCTTTTTGCGAGGTAAAAGTTGGTTTTTGGCACCAAAATCATCTTTTTACGATGTAAAAGTTGGTTTTTGTGTCCAAAACCATCTTTTTACGTGGGAAAAGTTGGTTTTGCTATGGAAAACCATCTTTTTACGAGGCAAAACCAAAAAGACAATCTTTTTCAAAATCCCCTCCCCATTCTCTAAAAAAGATGGTGTTTTTTGGTTTTTTTGGTTTTGCATCGTAAAAGATGGTTTTGGAGCCAAAAACCAACTTTTACCTCGCAAAAAGATGGTCTTCCTGAGGCAGTCCAGACCAAAACCATCTTTTTACGTGGGAAAAGTTGGTTGTTCTATGAAAAACCATCTTTTTACGAGGCAAAACCAAAAAAAACATCTTTTTCAACATCCCCTCACCATTCTCTAAAAAAGATGGTTTTTTTGGTTTTTTGGTTTTGCCTCGTAAAAGATGGTTTTGGAGCCAAAAACCAACTTTTACCTCGCAAAAAAATGGTTTTGGCGTGGTCTTCTTAAGGAAAACAATCTTTTTGCGAGGGAAAAATTGGCTTTCCTATGAAAAACCATCTTTTTACGATGCAAAACCAAAAAAAACGATCTTTTTCAAAATCCCCTCCCCATTCTCTTAAAAAGATGGTTCTTTTGGTTGTTTGGTTTTGCCTCGTACCTCTCTCGGGCCAGAACCGTTCAGCTCTACATGTAGCTATGCTTGGAGGCTCGTTGGTTTTGGTCAGTCTTATATTAATCTCAGCAATAGCATTCCTATTCCTATTAATGTAAAAGGCTTCCTAACCATCTTTATAGGACTTCTTTTTCATTTTACTTATATTCTTATGAACTTTCAGAGGGTTCTTATTCAACATCAAAGGATCCCTAATACTTTTCAATAGGGTTCTTATGCATTTCAACAAGGTTCTTAATCATTTTCAAGTGGCTCTTTTAATTCCAACAGGGTTCCTCTGAAATTAAACATCTTTTTAAGATTCATATTGGTGCCTATTCATTTTAATGAGTCTCCAAGTAATTTTAATGGTATTCTTAGAAAATTGAATGGCATTCCTCGCCCTATTAATTCTAATAGGAATCACATTAAGTCTAACAGGAAGCCAAGAAATTTTGAAAAGGAACCACATTGAACTTTGTAGGATTCCTATTGGTTCCTATTATTTTTAGTAGGGTTCCTCTTCATTTTAAAAGGATTTGTATCAATTGGTTATAGGGTTCTTAAAAATTTTACTGGGGTTCCTAATATATCCGATTAACGTCAAAGGGTTCCTGACCATCTTAATGGGACTCCTCTACCATTTCAGAATATTCTTATGAATTTTCATAGGGTTCTTATTCAATGTAGAAGGATTCCTAATACGTTTTTGTAAACAGGGTTCTTATGAATTTCAACAAGGTTCTCAATCATTTTAAAGTGGCTTCTTTTAGTTTCAATAGGGGTCCATCTGAAAATGAAAAGGGCTCATATTTCTTTTTAGGATTCCGGATTCCTATTGGTTCCTATTCATGTTTGTGACTTGCAAAGTAATTGGAATGGTTTTTCTGGAGATTTGAATAGCATTCCTGTCCCATTAATTCTAATAGGAATCACATGAATTCTAACAGTAAGCCTAGAAATCCGAACCACATTTATTTTTATAGGATTCCTATTGGTTCCTATTAATTTAGTAGGAAATCTCTTCATTTTCAAAGGATTCCAATAGGGTTCTTATGATTTTTAGTGGTGTTGCTTATAAATTCTAATTGATGGTAGGACCCTCTTCATTTAAAAGATTCCTCTTAATTTGCAAAAGGGTTCTTGTGAATTTAAGTGGGGTTCCTCATACATTGAATAGGATTCTAATTCATCATAACAAGATTAAGAGAAATATTAATAGGATTCCTATTTAGATTTAATGGAATTCCCACATTCCCGTGCATTCAAAAAGGGTCCCTTTTCATTTTCACAGGCTCCCTACTATTCTTCATGGGGGCCCTATTGTTTTTCTACATTTTAGTAGCATTCCCATGACGTTTGATAGGGAGTTCCTCTGACTCAAATATGATTCCAAGTCATTATTCCTATTGATTCAAGAAAGAGTCTTATTAATCTTAATAGGGTTCGTCTGAATTTCATAGGGCTTTCGTTCAATTAAGAGGGTTCTTATCAAATTCATAGCTATGACTAAGTATGGATTTCTTACTCCGACACGGCCTCACGGTAGGTCATGGGGGGGGGGGGGTGTGAGCATATATATATATATATAACCCTCCACAGAGTCCCGCCCCCTTGGCCCGCTGCAGACACCAACACCGCCGGCGGACAGCCCAAACGCACACCCAGGATTAGCTCCTGTGCAGGGCATTAAACGGTCGCAGTGAGGGTTTGGGGTTGAGGCGCTTTGTTACGGCTTAGGGTGTGCAATAGGTGACTGGGCCCGTAAACTGCATGAAGATCAGAGAAACCAACGAGTTAAGAAACTGACTCAGTCTCTCTAATTTACGGAAACTCATCAAGCTAATCCCCTCAATGTCTTCATTTGATGGTGATGCACCGAAGTCCGTTTCGGGTCTTAGCGAGGTTCCGGGAATCTGAAAGAACCTTTGCGAGTGCTTGAAAGGGTTTTGGGTTTTGGCATCTGATCTCTCCTACATGCGGCTGAAGGGGGGAGCAGGGTCCACGACAGCTGCTTAAGTCCCTCCCTTGCGAATACACCCAACTCAGGTATGGCATTTTGACAGCGGTACCGTGGGTATCCAAGCCCTCTCCAGATCCCGGGCCTCCACATAGGCATTCCTGGGTGCGAAGCAGCTTCGCTCAAAGGCAAGGAAACGGCACCGTGACGTGCTGATCACTGTTTACCACGGCAAGCCTGCCATCAACATGTTCAAGCGTGAGGTCCTGGACTTGCAACACCACTGACACAAGCAGAGGGGAGAGAAAAAAGCAGTCCTAAGATCTGTGCATGCTCCGCAGCATCGAACGATAGCTTGGCCTGTTCCACCACGTGGGGCTTCTGCAGACTCTACAGGCTTGGAAAGCTTAACGTCTGAACGTGTTTACAGATCCACATCGCCAAAAAAGCTGTTTACAAACTTTCATCGTGTTGGATCCAACAATGTCCAAATAATTGAGTCCGTCACACGTCGGAAAGGTGACGAGTAAAGCTGGGCAGGAATTCTCGGAAGGGGGGTTGGGGAACCATACGGCTTTTTTCTATCCCGGCAACCACATGCAACCACTT